TATATATATATATATATATATATATATATGACATAGACATGGACCACAGTATGATGACAGCCAGAGGGGAAGGGGGGGGGGGTTGGAAATAGGCAAAGAGAGGATAGATGGGGACAGAAAGAGACCTGACTATGGGTGGTGAGCACATGGTACAGTAAGCAGAGATGTTTTATTGAGTTGTACACTTGAAATCTGTATGGTTTTATTAACCAATGTCACCCCAATAAATTCAATTAAAAAAAGAGGAATGGCTGGGACTCCCACAGGCCTCTGTCTCACTCAGACACAATCCCCTCTGGTTTTCACAGCCAGAAGCTGTGGGGACTTCTCTTCCTGGCACTGGGACCCCTTGCTCCTCAGGGGGTACCTCTATAGCTGAGACATCCCTCTTNGTACCTCTGTAGCCGAGACATCCCTCTTGATTTTTAGCTGCCACGTGTGGGTGTGGGCCCAGCCCCTCTGCCTCTCCACCTCCTACCAGTCTGATGCGGCTTCTTCTTTACATCCTTTGTTAAAGGACTTCTCTTCTCTAGGTTTCAGGTGGTTCTGAATGGTGGTGGCTCTGTAGTTTAGTAGCAATTTTGATGCGGTTGTGGGAGGCTGCGTGCACTGCGTTTACCTACTTCATTATCTTGACGGAAACCTACCGCTCCCGCTTGTCCCAGCAGCTGCTGTAATATTTGATTTTAAGGTTCCTCTAAATCAACACGTCCCCTGGCCAGCCCAAGAGCCCCTGTGGCAGCACTGCTTTGATCTGTCTTCGAAGGCTCTTAGGAAACACAAATGTCTTAACCCAGCGGGTCAGGCCTCACCCCAGAACTCACCGTGGGTGATTAGCTTAGGAGCAGTCACATGAGCAAGGGTGAGGCGGGTGGGGGGTTGAGAGTCTGGGCTCACAAAACCGGCTTCATTATTTTCAGGGCCCAGTACAAAATTTAAGTAACTTTTAAACTATGTTCAAAAGTTATTAAGAATTTCAGGACTAAGACAGAAGAACGTGAAACTTAGCTCGGGGGCCTTTTAAGGGCAGGGCCCCCACCTTTGCCCAGTGCGTGCCCTTGAAGGTAGCCCTCAGATCAGCCTAGACTGGGATCTGGGGGTCACCCATTGGTGGGGACCCAGAATCCAGGAAGAGGGATTTCCCTACTACCCCGTGGTGAGTGGAGGCTCTGACTTTGGTCATCACTGTGCCCTCTCAGCCCTGACTCCCTCAGCCATCCCCTGCTGGGTCCCTGTGTCACTCACCTGCAGCCTCTGGGATGGTTCAGGGGAAGAAGGCGGGTGGGTGGCAGTGGGACCAGGGCTCCTGCCTGGAGAGTCGAGGACTCTCCGCGTTCTGGATAGGAGGCCTCCTCCACAGCTGTCCCCTGTCCCGGCCTAGGGGAGAGGCTGGACTCTGCACATCCCAGGAGATCTTCAAACTCTAGTAACATTTCCTCTGAGACACTGGCGCCAGGCTGGCCTCCGCGAGGGCTGAGGTTATCTGCTCTGGGCCAGCCTGGCCTCTTGGACTGCTGACCTTAGCATTCAAAGCCCCCACCCAATGCTACTGGCCTATGAGGAAGTGTCCTGCTAGGGCTGGGGTAGGGCAGAGCAGGCCCCAGAGTACAAGTGCCATGTGCCCAGGGGGAGGCCCTCCTGGCTCTGCATCTCACATTTCTAAGTCACAAATCAGGTGGTTGACTTGGGAGAGATCTGGTGCCCTTTGATGTAGGATTTAGAAAGGGCAGCCCTTCCAGGCAACAGGTAGGCAGTGAACAGAGGTGTGGGAAAGTTGGGAGCCTTGACCAGGAAGCTGGTCCTGACTCAGGGGAAGCAGCAGGCATGACCCCTGTCCCAGCCTCTCTGGACCCAGGTTTGATGGGTCATTTCCTTCTTTGCTTAGAAAGAAACTACAAGTCTTGGTCCTTTCTTCCTCCCTCGAGTGAGAAAATGACTTGAAAAAGAAAGTAAAACAAACAAAATTGAAACTGAGAAACGGAGAGTTTTCAGGCCTCTGAGCAGGACAGGGTGCAAGCCTTGATGGGTATTGAGCGCCTATTATATGCTGGGCCCCATGGGGTACAGCAGTGAGCAAGACAGGTTCCACCCTCTGAGAGTAAACACTGTAGTGGGAACACCAGGAAAATAGCTAAGTGAGGCTGAGAGGTGCCAGGGGGTTATAATGAAGGATGCAACAGAGGGGGCAGTTGGCTGAGCGGAGAGGCCAGGGAAGGGTTCTCAGATAGATGACACTTAAGCCAACATCTGAGTGTCAGCCCCAGGAATGCAGGGGAAGGAAGGACATTCTAGGCAGAAGGAGCAGCAAGTGCAAAGATCCTGAGGCAGAAAAGTGGTTAGTGTGTTTGAAGAACCAAAAGAAGGTCCCTGGGTCAGATTGACATGAACAATGGGGGAGAGTGGGGTGCGGGAGGAGGTGGCCAGGTCGATGAGGCAGGCCGAATGATGGCCCCCCACCAAAGATGTCCACACCCTCATCCCTGGAACCTATACCTCACGAAAGGGCTTTCAGCAGACACGATTAAGTTAAGGATCTTGAGATAGAGAGATTACCCTGGATTGCGTGGGTAGACCAGCGAAGGTAGGGGGAAAGAGTCAGGTAAAGGAGATGTGACCACAGAAACAGAGGTTGGAATGCCGTGGGACCTCTAGCAGTGTGGGCGCCTCTAGACACGGGAAAGGGCAAGGGATGGATTCTCTCCTGCAGCTGCCGGAAGCAACGCAGCCCTGACTTTAGCCCACCGAGACCCCTTCAGACTTCTGCTCTCCAGGGCTCTAAGTCAACAAGTAAGTAAATATGTGTTGTTCCAAGCCACCGCGTTTGGGGCGGTGTGTTATAGCAGCTTTAGAAAACGAATGCAGTTGGGTTGTGTAGTTGGCCATGGGGAGGGGACTGGCTGGGCGAGGGGAGATCAGGGGGAGGCAGTCACTGTCAACCAGGTGACAGTAGATGATTCCCGCTCCAGGTTTAGGAGGGTATGGCCGCTGGATACGGTTTTGAGGTAGAGTTAGCAGGGCTCACTGTTGAAGGGGTTGTAGGGGGTGAGGGATGGAAAGGAATCAAGGACACTCCCAGTTTTTGGCCCCAGCAGCTAGGGGGATGGCAGGGCCTTCACTGAGATTCGGGAGACTGGGGTGGTGGCACATGTGGAGAGGAGGAAACCAAAACTGTCTGTGTGACCTGTGTCAGGTTGGGGTTGCCTAGGAAATGTCTGTGCGGCCATGGCCAGCGACTGCTGGAGATCAGCCTGGGAATGGGGGGGGTGGAGGGCCGGGGCAGCAGGCAGAGGGTTGGGTGTGTGGGTGGCAGTTAACCTGTGAGGCTGACAGTTAGGAGAGGAAGTAGCTGGAGAAGGGAAGTGCCCATGACAGGTGCCCCTGCGTTTCCCTCTTCCTCTGTCTGGTGAACTTGTCCTTCAGAGTTAAGCCCAAATGTCCTCCTTTTGGGGCCGTTCTTGGTCCTTGCCTCAGAGCCCTGCGCATCCC